CTTGTGGCTCTTGTTATAGTGGTTGGACTAGTAGTGCCACCCTAGGTTACTCTTATTTAGTTTGTACTCTTCCTGACTTGTCTTCGGACCCTTGCCCCGGAGGTTGGACTAGCCAAGCCACCCTGAGTTGTGCGTCTCTTGCCTGGCACTGCCCCTCATCTAGACTAGGGGGTGTGTCAAATATATTTGTATATGTCTTATAGGCTAGATAGGTGCGTACTCTTAGAGGGTACAACCCCTTAGACAAAACCACTATGTTTCCCCCATTCTAGTTAATATTTCTACGCTAACACCGGTCCCATGTGTATAGGGATGCATTTACCGCAATATGGCATTTGGAGCAAGAGTTTCCCATCAATTTTATATAGTTTATGGGCGTGAATGGATCTCCATTTCAGCTTAATATGAGCGTGAATATTTTATAATATGAATGAGGACTAGCATTGTAGAACAAAGACAACACCAAGAGCCTTAGAAGTCGTTCGACAATATGCAATGCGTCAAAGAAAAGTAAGTTTAATGATTTTTTATAACCACGGTATTTCAAAACTACAAACTTCAGGTTTTTTCATTGGACACAATTTTTATGCATAAAGTTTTGAATTCAAGGTCCTAGCATAATGCTCAGGAGACTGGAGATACTTCGGAGGCACCACCAAGTATCGTTAAGCAGGAACACATCCTCTTGATGTTGACACAGCAGCAGACAATTTAGCCCAAGGACTTCCTGAACATCCCTTTCCTAGGCTATGCAGACCACACGTATGGTATGGGGCCTCAGGAGTTGGTATTGGCGGTGTATGTCGTCCTGCGCATGAATGTCACCCCTAGGAACATAAAAGGGGGGGTGAGGCCGCAGATGGGGATTGTGGAGCTCTAGTCGGGCTTGCAGTGGATGTCTAGTGGGCGAATTGTCGTAGGCGTTCCTACTGGGAAGGAGAAATTGGAGTTGGCACACCTATGGAAGAGTTTGAACACCTACAGCCCCCCCTCTCGTGGCTTTTGCTCCTGGATCACCCGCATGTTGCATCTCACCTCTTGGCGATCGTAGTGTCCACGTCCCCTATCTCTCCAAAGCAGACAGTGCCCATTCAACAGGAGGTGGGGGAGCCTTCCGAGATTGGGATACCCGCTTGAAGGATTGCTTTGAGCTATTGTTCCTGCTCGACAGCTGGGAGCTTGCCCAGGAGAAGTTGCACATGGCCCGACTTCAGCTGTACCTTCCGGCGAGGCTAGGTGATTTTGAGATTCATTCGGCAGCCGGTCAGAATCCCCCGTTCTACGCGTGCGGATGGTGTCAGGATGTATCGGTCGAGATCGAAGAGATCGAAGAGGAAATGTTGCACAGTTTGTTCCTTGGTTTGCCAATGCCCGTGGACCTACTCCCGCTAGCAACTGGACAAGAAACGTCGTCCCTCTCCCTTTGCATCAATAATCAACCATAGCAGTTGTTTTCCACCCAAAAGCACCGTCTTGATGTAGAAAGTGTACAGTCCCTCCACCGCTGGGCTCGCGATGCCGCCACATTGATCTATTTGAGCTTCTTTCAAGGTCCAGGGGTCGGGGCATGGATTTTTTACGGCTCCAGCATACGATGACGCCACTTTCACGGCAGCTGAGCGGAGCATATCTGCAACCATTCGCATGGGGCTGCTTGTACAGCAGCTAATGGTGTGCGTTTGTGGGACAAAAATTGTCGACCTTACGAGCCCGCACCACGCCATCTTCTTCAAGCATCAGTACGCCCTCTCTCGCATTCATGATGCTATGAAGTTTGTCGTGGTTAGGATCGCAAATGGTTCATGTGGGGTGGCGATTATTGAAGAGGACACACACCTGCTGGATAAGTGAACATCGTGTTACATCAGCCGATGGAAGGGGAGGCGCAAGCGCTCGAGATGAACGGCGTGGATCCTATCTCGCTCTCTTCACAGCAGTACGGACAGATTGGTTGTGTGTTGGAGTTTGTGGCTCAGGAGCGGGAGAAAGAGAAGGCAACTGACTACAAGGCTCTGTTATAGTGGTACAAGAGCGTGCAATCCATTCCACTCATTGTTTACAGCTGGGGCCGCTTGAGAGGAGGCTTTCAGCGATGGCTACTGTAATAAGGGGGATGTTCAGATTTAGGTGGCCATTTTTAAAAGGGCGGGGAGGTGGGAAGATAAGGCATTATCGGCGTACTTGATCGAGGCTGTGGAGGCTATTATCGGTGGGGGCGGGGTTGAGGGGGGGGGGGGAGGGGGGGGGGGAGGGGATGGGTGGGGTGCTCCTGGGCGGATTCGCCTTCCCTAGAGAATGTGCGGGTCGGCTGCGATGCCTGGGTTGTTTCAGGGCGTCTTCCCTGTCCCCCCCCCCCCCCCCTCCCCCCTCCCTCTTTTCCGTATTTGTTGTATAGATTTCGTTAAGATATATCAATTCTATGTTCATGACACAACGAAGATGTTACACCCTGTCGGCCATTAAATAATTTGTTCTATGTGAGTGTTGTTGGAATAGTCAGAGGACTATTGATGATGTATGCTATCTAAAAGACAAACTTTGCACCACGACCAAAATCGTTATGGGGTTAGCCAGCGAATCGCCTGAACTTCGGTAGGTGACAGAATTGCAAGTTGAAGGAAAGTCACTCCATCAGATTTTCAGTCTATAATCATCACATCATTCTTGGGATGACTCTTTCGAGCTGCTCCCTCACCATTCGCCACTTACCAGACGACCCATATCAGATGATGATTTCGGATCCTTTGCTTTGGGATCCTAACTGCTACTGCAGCCAAGTTGCCAAACGCGAGCTCCTTTATGGGCTCTGATTGGTCGAGCTTTTGCAACATTTTTCATGTGTTCTCGAAGTGTGTCTTTGACGGGCAACTATCGTACTTGCTTTTATGGGAACACTTAGAGCACCCTAAATCTCGTTTGTCTCAAATCACGTAGCAACAAAAAGGGGATACAGTCATTGCCAAGATCGGCTTCTTCTCACATTGTGAAATGGAATTTCACATTGCCCTGGACCAAATATGGCCTAGTGTGGAAAAAACCACAGACCTTGACGGGTTGAGCTGCTGATTCCAGAAGATCCTCGTCGCGTGAACATTCTGTTTCATTTTTACGACTTGACAGTTCGCTACAGTGCGCGGGTCTTTCTGGCTGTTGCGATCCCTTCCTTAAAAAATAATAATAATAATAAAAAATAACAAAAACTCCTCACTGGTTTCCCTCCACGTGGATCCAAACACTCGCCACTCCAGAATACACCCCTACTTCTTCGGGAGCTCGGTAAATACCCCTGGACGTCGGTTCCCCGGGCGGTCACGTACAATCACATTCCAGAAAAAAACAAACGCAGCCGGCTTGATATACACGCTTGATTCTAACGAATGTAAAGTGTATTTGCTTGTCCAGTCATATATTTTTTCAGCATTCGTGCCCAGACGCCTGCTCCCCACCCCACCCCATCGTCACGTGGCCGTTTGGCTGAGTAGACGATTTGCGAGCCGGACCACTGAAATGTGCACGCCCATCTTCTGACAACAGTGCACTGTGGGTGCAGTTCTCTGGCCGAAACCTTTTCCGGGTTGTGCCAAATGCCTTCCGAGTGATTGTGATTGGAGCGTTAAAGTTATAAATCCGCTGCCCTGTCTCCGAAAGGACACGAAACGTGTCCTTTCTCGGGCGTCACTACAGTAGACTTTGGACACAAGTTTTTGGCTGTGGACCACAAACTGGAACTGGTTTCTGGAAGCATGCTTCTCCGCTTCGAAGAGTGGAGGTGGGGATTGAACTTTCGAAACTCGGGTGGAACATGAGGCAACACCTCATCTTTTCAATTTCAGACCAGGCACAATCTCCCACATCCTGCGACATTGTACAGTTTGTGTAGTAGCTTATAAAGATTAGGCTCCAATTCCGTGACCCAAAATCTCAGCTTTTCTAAACACACAAAGGTCAGAACTTTGATTCCAAGTAGATTCTTTTGTTTTTCTGCGGGCACTTTCAAGATAAATATCGGCACCGTTTTCATCCGGCCCCCATTCGCTACATTTAATAGCGATATTCGAATGATGATGTTTCACGTGCTTCTTTTTCGCGTGCGACATGCTGCCCTCCTAGCGCGTGGGTCGCTCAGCACAGATGTCGAAGTTCATGTACTGTACAGAGGACGCAGCGCACCCAGCACCGCAAACCCTTGCCGCAGCTCGCCAACGCTGGCCAATGTTGGCGCACCCCACTGCACTCACTCACATCTGCGGGGAACAGGGGGGGCGTGGGGAGAGGAGAAGCGCGAAGAAGGCTCACCGCGACATTGGGGGAACGGGGAACTGCCTTTCCTCGAGAGTTGCGTTCGGGTGCCTCCGCTCGCCCAGGCTGCGCTGGAGTGGGAAGATCCTAGCGTTACTGGCCACGGGGAGAGAAGCCATGTGAGTGAGGCAAGGCAAGCGTGCAAAACTTGATCGGCCCTGCGTCACGCTGGGGTGGGTTTGGCTCACGCGCAAGGGGGGCGGAGCGGCGGAAGGATTTTTTCGCTTGGGCGCTGCATCATGCTCATAACGACTGTCATGATGATCAGTGTGTGTCGTCTCGTGCTCGTAGAACCACCCCTCCGCAATTGGCCGTCCCCTCGCTCCCCCACTTTCTCGTCGTGCTGTGCTGGTTCGTTTTCCGCCAGCAATCAATTCCCCCCTGCCCTCCCATTCGTTACAGCTTCTCTGCTCCTTGTACAACATGCCAAATTCCACCTCTCCGCCCCGCGAACATTCGTTACCAAATCGCTCCGCGTGCCGCAGGAACCTATCCCAAACCAACTGAAAACCACTAAGCCGTACTTCACCTAATCACTTCCATCGCACACCTTCCCCCAGGTTGCACCTTGCGTCAGGCCCTCGGAAACGTGACCGCGGACCAGCCAAGGAAGCAACGGAAGCCAACGAATTTCCTCCCCTCACCAATCCTGTTGGCCACCTTGATATTCTCCCCCATCCGCTGCTATTCCACTCATTTTCTCTCCCACTTCTCCTTCCTCTCCTCCATAGGCGGCCGTTTTTCCTCGTCCTCATCCCACAACCTGGAGCATTTTCCCTCTGCAAGATCGAAATACCGTTTCTTGCCGCGACGAACGTAGTCCTCTCACTTCCCATAATTCTCCTCCTGCCACTTTCTCTGGTCCACCTCCGAGGCATCTGATGGCGTTCCTCCACCCGTCCTTAGAAACCGTCGCGTGTAAATTACCCGGGCTCTCAGCAGACCCCTTCGAAGCGCCAAGTCGTGAGGTGGACCCCGTCGCGCCGGCTGACCCTCTCCTCCCCTCCCCGCATTTCACGGACGTCGGCAGCGCCCAAGACTCGGCAACAGCAGCAGTTTTGGCGGCGGCGGCGGCAGCCATGCAGCAGGAGTCGCTGCTGCGTCGCCAGCGCATGGCAGCGTCTCTCTGCTCCGCGGGGTTCCCCTTCTCTTCCGCGCTCGCCTCCCCCTCCCCCCTCTCCTGGCAATCCCGCCTCTCCAACCCCCTCCTCAACTCCTCCTTCCTCTCCTCCACAATCGACCCGCTCGGTCCCTCCGCGGCGCAAATGCAACTTCTCGAGTCTATGGTCGCCGCGACCTCGCCCACCGGAACCGTTTCTTTTCTCAACTCCTCCCTCCTCTCCCATTCGATGAACGCATTTACCCCCAGCGCCAAGCGCGCCGCACCCGACGCCTCCGCGAGCGACTCGAAGACGCAGCGTCCGCGGAAGCGCGGGCGTCCGTCTTACAAGGACCGCGCGGCGGCGGCTGCGGCGGCTGCTGCGGAGGTCGACGCGAAGAAGGCTGCTGCGAGGGCGGCGCTGCGCGAGTCGGCGTTCGGAAGCAGCGCAATCGACAGCGAACACGTGACGTCCCTCGGCGAGAATGCGGCTTCCGCACCTGCCTCACTTCCTCACCGCAGAATGCCGCGCATTCTCCCCCGCGCCGTCCCCATGCGCGCGCCTCTCGTGCCCGGTTTGACGCAGGTCCCCGACTCCGCGGCCTTGATGGCGGGGCTGCTCCCCCATGCCAGCTCCGCCGACCTTTCCGCCGCCCTTCACGCCGCCTTGGAGCAGGCGCGCTGCCGCGCAGCTTTCGCGGAGGCCGCCGCCGCTGTGGGGCCGTCGCTGGAGCAGCGCGCGCAGCTCTGGATGGCGCGACTCACCGCCGCCGGCGCTTGCAACGGCGCGCTGCTGCGCGGGTTTCCCGCAGTTGCCCCTTCCGCAGTTGACGCCGCATTGTCCGCTGGTATGCCGCTCAACCACCGAGCCGCTGTGAGCGAGGCGAATCTTGCTGCCGCCGCTGGGCTTCTCGCCGCGAAAGGCGGCGAGGCGAGCTTCAAAGACGCTGTTTTCAGCAAGCTCGCTTTGGCCTCGCGCGCTCAGCAGCACGATGGCGTCGACCAGTCCGAGTTGCATGGAGTCGCGTCAGGTGCTAAGGAGCTTTCCCCGCCGGCCAATGGCGGCGCGGGAACTGGCGGCTCGTCCGTGACTGACGTGGCAGGGAACCAACTCGCCGGCGGCGCGTCGGTGGGCGCCGTTCCTCCGCTGCCCGCGGGAGTGCTGGCCATCGACTGGATGTTCGGGAGCGGGCCGGCGAGCACGAAAGAATCGCGTTTTTTGCTGCCCGAAGCGGCAGCTGATTTGGAAGAGCACGGCGACGAGACGGCACCGTCTCTGCAATCGCAGCTCAAGGGACAAGGCACAGCAGAAGGGCCAGCAGCAGCAGCAGCAATGGCGGCAGCAGGAGCAGCAGGGAGCAGCAGGGGCCCGTCCCCCACCTCTACCACCTTTTTCCGGCGACAGCCGACGGACTCGTCTTCGTCCCCCCCGGCTGTTGTCGTGGCGGCGGCCTTTGAGCTGCTCGCAAAGAACATGGGTCCCCCTCCCCCCCCTCCTCGGCCCCTCTCCTCCCTCCCTGCTGGTGTCTCTGCGTCTGCTGCTGCCGCTGCTGTTGTTGGGCGCAGCATCTCGGATGAGCCGAGCTCAATGGCTGCTTCTGCGCCGCAGATGTTTCCCCGTGTGAATTCTCATCCTTGTGCTGCGGCTGCTGGTGATGCTGGCGATGCTGGTGCTGCGAAGGGCGGCGACATGCGGAGCGTAATGATGATGGTGGATGAAGAGCTCAGGAGCCTGCGACAGGCTGGCGCTACAGGCGCGGCTGTAGCGACAGAATCCCCCATGCAAGGCGTCAGCAGGAGGAACAACAGCAGCAGTGCAGCTGCTAGTGCGTACTCCATTCCTGTGCCGGCTTACCTCGCTGTTCCTGCTGGTGCTGATTCCAGCAAGGGAGGTGAAGCTTGCAGAAGGCAGGAGAGCATAGCACCGATGGATCTCATGCCAACCTCTGCTTCAGATTGCCATGTTTTGAGCCAGGCTGCTTTGGATCTCACACTAAAGCTGTGAGACTTTGTCTGGCTAGTGCTTTTAGGGACTTGCCTTTTTCTTTGCTGTTTTTTTTTTTTTTTTTTTTTTTTTTTTTCCTTCCGTGTACTGGAATGCATGGCTGGCTGACTGTCGCCATGCCCAGTGAAATTTGCACATATATTTATCTTATCTAAATCCATGCCTTGAATAGTTGTGGCTTGTAAGCTTGCTTTTGTCGATAGGACATCGTCCAATTTCAAATGACCAGCTTCTAACAACCAACTGTCAAATCATATATATATATATATATATATATATAATCAGGGTTTCAGCTAGGATTTAGGGCTGTCTGAAAATCAGACGGGTTTCCAAAGTTTCGTCTGACCATCAGACGAACATTTTCAAGGAGTCTGAGACTTCAGACGAATTTTTCCCGTGAGTCTGAACATTCAGACGAAAAAATTGCCGCAAGAAACTTCGCCACTTGCAATTTAGACTTCAATTTTTCTGTTTCCTTATTTCCTGCGGAGAGCCTGTTCCTCCGAACTTCTTCTTCCCAGACTTGGACCCGCCTGTTAACGTAGAAACGAATGATTACTAGAGGTGGAAACCTAGAACAAATACTAGTTGGTTGTACTCACTAGAAGCATACCTCAGTCTAGCCTATAACTTCTACATAGATAATATGTATAAGTTGACACACCCCCTAGGCTAGACAAGGGGTGAAACTAAACAAGAAGCAAACAGCTCAGGGCGGCACTACTAGTCCAACCACTGAGGCAGGGGTCTGGAGACCAGTCAGCAAGAATACAACCAAAACTGAAGCAAGCCAGGGTGGCACTACTAGTCCAGCCACTGGAGGTAAGGCCACAAGGCCAGTCTGACAAGCATATATAATAGAGAGTACACAATCAGGATCCTAACAGGGGAGCAGCTATAGGAACAAGACCAAGCTGTACACAGTGCCGCTGATGATCTTTAGGCGCAAGCGCCTTAGTAAAGATATCAGCTGTGTTGGCACCTGAGGCCAAGTGAACTACGCGGGCCTGGCGGCGCTGCTGTAGCTCGCGCAGGAGGAAGTACCGCAGCTGGATATGCTTCGCTCTGCCCTCAAGCCGAGGCTCCTGACACAGGAGTATCATGGCCCTGTTGTCAGCGTACAGGACCGGGGCAGAGCTAGGCCGCTCACCTAAGTCTGTGAGCAAGAAGGTCAGCCAGCGGAGCTCCTGTGCCGCCATGGCACCAGCGTAGATCTCAGCCTCACAGCTAGACTGAGCCACAGACGACGAGCGAGTGGATCTCCAAGAGATAGCACCCGAACCAAGGCTGAAACAGTAGCCCTGCGACGACCTGAGCGTCTCAGCGTCGTCTGCCCAAGAAGCGTCTGTGTGCCCAGTAAGGACCACTGGCCTGCGTCCTCCTAGCACTAACCCCATGCCTGATGTACTAGCAAGATAACGCAAAACCCTCTTAGCGGCAGACCAGTGCTGAGGTCGGTGTCTGCCTGTAGCCACAAAGCGAGCCAGGATGCTGAGAGGGTATGCGAGATCTGGGCGAGTGCAAGTCATCAGGTACATGAGGCAACCCACCAGCTCTGCGTAGGGGCCACTGGGCTCTACTGGCTCCTCAGGAACGGGAGCAGAGAGCCCATGGTCTACGGGTAGAGGTGTGGGCTGTGCGGAGGAGAACTGAAGACCGAACCTCTGAAGGACCTGACGCACCAAGTGTGACTGGGTCAGAGTGATGGTGCGTGCTGCTCTGTCCCTAGAGATCTGCAGGCCAAGATAGCGACGCAGCTCTCCAAGGTCAGTGCAGGTGTGTCTCTTCAGCAGCTCAGCCTTCACAGAGGCCAGTGCGTCCCTGTCAGGAGTAGCGAAGACCAGGTCGTCTACGTAGACAAGGATGTAGAACGGAGTCTGGCCGGAACGCACAAACAGTGAAGGGTCAGCAGAGGACGGAAAGAACTGCAGCTCTGCTAACGTGGCACGTAGCGTGTCGTGCCACTCGCGGGGAGCCTGACGCAGGCCGTAGACCGGGCGCCTGAGAAGCCACTGGGTCCCAGGAGGGAAGGTACCAGTGAAGCCCTGTGGTCGGCGCAGGTAGACCTGCTCGTGTAGGCTGCCCTGAAGAAAGGCAGTAGAGAAGTCGAGAGAGTGAAGCTCGTAGTCACGCTGTGCTGCTACGTGTAGCAGCGCCCGAAGAGTGGTCATCTTCGGGGTCGGGGCGAAGGTCTGGAAGAAGTCAACCCCCTCGCGCTGACTGAAACCTCTGGCCACGTAGCGCGCCTTGAAGACAGGCGGCTCTCCAGGGGGGCGCTTCACCTTGAAGAGCCACCGACCATCGACTACGTTCACCCCAGGCGGGGGAACTGCGTCGACGTAAGTGCCGGTGGATCTCCAAGATGCCATCTCCTGCTCCATGGCAGCTATCCACTGAGAGGCCCAAGGTCCCGAGGTGGCCTCAGCGTAGGTGCGAGGGGTCGGGATGTCGAACGCGTCTGGGTCACCCTCAGGGACTAACAGCATGGAGCAGAGATGGGGAGCAGCCTCGGAAAGGAAAGCCAGCTCGTACTGCCTGTCCTCTAGGACGTCACTGCCAAGGGCAGGAGCACCCCCGACGGACAGAGGACGGGCAGGGTCAGAGACCAGAGCGGTAGCGTAGTCAAGGCGGCGGGTAGAAGCGAAGTCAGCGACAGCAGCGACAAGCGCGTCAAGGCGCGAGACAGGAACAGCAGGGTCGGTAACAAGAGAGGCAAGGACCCGAGGGACAAGGGGACGAGCAGCACGGAGGTAGTCAGAGAACGGAGGAGGTGCAACAGCAAGGGACGAGGGAGGAGGGGACGGGAGGAGGGGAGGACGAGACGAGTGGGAACGGAGCAACATAGGGTGGGTGGGCAGGACAGGAGAGACGGGACGAGCACGGGAGGGACGGCGAGCCCAAACGTGAGACGGAGGGGTAGGGTCAGGGGACAGCGGAGGAGACACAGGAGGGGAACGAGGAGGAAGACGGGCCGGAGACGAGTCTGGCGGCGGGAACACAGGACCGTAGACAGGGAGGTCAGGAGGCGGTGGGGGAGACACCGGCGCGCGGTCCGGGGAGGGAAGGCCGAGCAGGCGGAGAGCGGAAACCGGCGGCGACGGCTGCTGTGGCGGCGACGACGGCTGGGCCGGAACTCTCGGACCAGCAGAGGCAGAACGACCGTCGGCAGAACACTCAACAGCAGCACCCCCAGAACCAACACCCCAAGAGCGAGAACCCCCTCCAACACCAGCGGCACCCCCAGAAGCCGCAGGACGAACACCCTCCTCCACACCAGCACCCCCAGGGGCCGAGAGCAGCGGCGGCAGTGGCGGCGACAGCGGCGACGGCTGCGGCGGCGACGGCGACGGCGGCGGCAGCGGGGTCGGCGACTGCGACAGTGGGGGCGGAGGCACTGGGGAAGGGGGACGCGGCAAGGACGGACCGGGGGTACCACCAGAGTCAGCAGACTCCTCAACGGGGACAACCGACGGGAGGGGAGTGACGTGGGAGACACCAGACGGGGCAGGACGAGGCGGGAGAGGGGCAGGGGCTACCGGGGGAGAGGGAGCAAGGAAAAGGGGGGGGGCAACTGGGAGACCTCGGTGAGGGAAGCGGCGGTAGAAGGAGACGGACTCGTCAAAGGTGACGTCACGAGAGTGGAGGAAGCGGTGAGACGGCGGGTGGTAGAAAAGCCAGTCAGACGAGTCCAGGGGGAAACCGAGGAAGACACAGGGGACAGTGCGGGCAGTGAGCTTGTCCGTGCCAGAGGCACGAACGTGAGCAAGGCAGCCCCAGACGTGGAACGCAGACGCGTCACCGGGGGACCCGGTCCAAAGGAGGGTCGGCGAAACCTGCGGCCGCTGGGAGCGTGGCCACAGGTTAAGCTGGTGAGCCGCGTAGCGAACAGCGAACGGCCACAGAAAATGGGGGGCATCGGCATGGATCATGGAGGTACGGGCGACCTCCATGACCAAGCCGATGCGGCGCTCAGCAACCCCATTCTGCTGTGGCGAGTCCGGCAACGTGTACGACTGGGTGATGCCCTCCGCACGACAGAACTGTCCAAGCCGACCAGAGGCGAACTCGCCGCCACGGTCGGAGTGGAGACACAACACGGGGAGACCGCGGTGGAGACGCGCAGCTACAACCCACGGGAGAAGAACGTCGGGCACGTCGGCCTTCCGCTCCAGGGGAAACACCGTGGTGTAGCGCGTGTAGTCGTCAACGAGCACAAGGAAGTAGCGCTCACCGCGCGGTCCGGGGACGGGGGCAGGGCCCCAAACGTCCAAGTGCAGGGTCTGAAGGGGGGCAGTAGCAGGACGCAGCGAGGAGGAGTGAGGAGCACGGCGGAGCCGACCCTCGACGCAAGGCGTGCACGGTGGCGCAGTCGAGGGAGGAAGGGCAGGGAGCGACGCGGGGAGACCTAAGACAAGACCGTGCTGGGACATGTGACGCAGACGCGGGAGAGCAGGGTGACCTAAGCGGTGGTGCCAGAGAAGGGAGGGGTGAGTGAGGGACCGACACGAGCAAGCTGCAGCGACCTGGGAGGACGCACCAACCGGGGGGGAAGCGGTGTGTAGGGTAAACAGACCGGACACCGGGTCCCGGGGGAACGTCGCAAGGGGGGAACCTGAGACAGCCTCAGAACAGACAGCGAACCGCTCGTGCCCGGGGAACGTGGTGGTGACGCCGAGGTCCTGGAGACAGCCGACACCAACCAGGTTCCTGGAGAACGAGGGAACGTGGAGGCCAGTAAGGGAGCCCGAGGGAACTGCCGGACAGGGAAGGGACGTAGAACTGCGCGCGACGACCGGACCCGCAGAGGGGTCAGCGAGAGAGACAACAGCAGGTGCAGCAAGCGGCGTGAGCGTGGAACGGTCGCGGAAGAAGCAGGCAGAAGCACCAGAGTCGAGAGTGAAGGACAGCGACGCAGTGGCGGAGGCCGCGGACGGAGCCGGTGCAGCGACTAGACTAGGCAACCTAGGCAGTCCTACGCCTGTCGCAGCAGGGGAAGCTAAGCTACACAAGGGTGAAACACCTAAACTAGAGTACACATGGTAGTAAGATCCATCAACACTAGAAGCGTCAGCATACAAAGCATGCAAAGCAGCACCTATCTGATCCATGTCTAACTCAAAGATCGGCACGCCCTGG